CAGGCCGCGCGCAGGGGAGGGGAGGGACTTGCGGGGGGAAGGGGGGCGGGGTTTGGGGTTTGGGGTTTAGGGTTTAGGGTTTAGGGTTTAGGGTTTAGGGAGGGCGGGGAAGCTGGGGCGTTGTGCGTAAACCCTAAACCCTAAACCCTAAACCCTTTTTTTGCAGCATAATGCAGCAAAAGAAATTCCGAGAACAAGTTTATAGGGGACTGAAGCACGTGCTCGAAGTCCGCGACGCAGAAGAAAGAGAAATGGGATACTCCGTAAGAACGAGGGTTTAGGGTTTAGGGTTTAGGGTTTAGGGTTTAGGGTTTAGGGTTGCTGCGGCGGGAATCACCCGTCGGCGCTTCCAAGTGCCGCGGCTCTCTCTTGCCCAGTCTCTGGCAGCAACAGCGCAGGGTTTAGGGTTTCCCGGGCTCCCCAGGGTCTAGGGTTTAGGGTTTAGGGTTTAGGGTTTAGGGTTTAGGGTTTAGGGTTTAGGGTTTGCGTCAGGGTTTGCCGAGCGAGGCGAACTTCTTCGGAGAACCCGAAGCAGCACGAGCAGCAAAAACCGCCGTCGAAGGCGCGGGTTGTGGTTTGTACAAAAGGGTTTTGAGAATTCGAAAACACATTTTCTTGAGAAGCAACGAAGGACAGGTGCTTCCTGCTGCTGCTGCTGCTGCTGCTGCTGCTGCTGCTGCTGCTGCTGGTGTTGCTGCTGCTGCTGCTGCTGCTGCTGCTGCTGGTGTTGCTGCTGCTGGTGTTGCTGCGGCTGCTGCTTGTGTTGCTGCTGGTGTTGCTGCTGCTGCTGGTGTTGCTGCTGCAGGTATTGCTGGTGTTGCTGCTGCTGCTGGTATTGCTGCTGCTGCTGGTGTTACTGCTGCTGGTGTTACTGCTGCTGGTATTGCTGCTGGGGTTTTGCAGCAGCAGCTGCTGGTGTTTTTGAGCGGCTGCTGCTGCTGTCTTGCTGCTGCTAGTAGTCCAGGGTTTTACTGCTGCTGCTGCTGCTGCTGCTGCTGAGTGGCTAGGCCCTGAGGTTTAGAGCTGCTGCTGTCCATACACCTGAAGCTGCTGCTGCTGTCTGTGCACCTGAAGCTGCTGCTGCTGCTGCTGCTGCTGCTGCTGCTGTGTATAAACTCCTTCTCTTGGTTTACTTTGCGGGGGTTTGAAGGTTCCATTTGCTGTCGTTTGCTGCGTGTGTCTGCGTCTGCTGCTGCATTTGCTGCTGCTGCTGCTGCTGCTGCTGCTGCTGCTGTGTTTCTGCATTGCCTGCTGTTGCTGGCTTCCCTGCTGCTCCCTCCCGTTGCTGCTGCCCTCCTCCCCGCTGCTGCCGCTCCTCCCCGCTGCTGCTGCTCCTCCCCGCTGCTGCCGCTCCTCCCCGCTGCTGCTGCTGCTGCTGCTGCTGCTGCTGCTGCTGCTGCTGCAGCGGTTTGGGTGGGCAGACCGTCTGTCTTTGCCGAGCACTGCAGCAGCAGACGCGGGGGCTGAGTACGAAGAAGCCTTCGGAGTGGTGTGGAGTTCCCTTGCTGCTGCTGCTCCCTCCTTCAGCCCCTACTTGCTGCAGCTGGTGCAGCAAAAACGCATGCAAGTGACCCTGGGGGCCCCCGGGGGGCCCCCCCCCCCCCCCCCCGAGGG